TCAGTCTCAACTACATAGTGAAACCCTTTCTCAAAAAACCAAAAAAAAAAAAAAAAAAAGGGGGAAAACGTGGTAATTCACAATTTAGCTAAATTGAGAGGGCAGCTAGCCCACCCCTATCCAAAGTAGAGAGGTGCTTTTACTTGCAGGATGGGTATAGCAACCTGATGCTTATATTTGTTATTCTCTGTGTCATTAGGTGTAAACATTTTCTTTTCTTTTTAGGCATGCGTCCCTGAGGATTGGCTCACAATCCAACAATTGAATATCAAGATGAAACACTGAAGGGCAGGGGATTTAGCTCAGTGGTTCTGGTGTCTCACAAGTGCAAGGCCCTGAGTTCAATCCTCCACAAAAAGAAAAGAAAAGAAAAGAAAAAAAGATGAATCACTGGAGTGAGAATGCTACATGAAGAAGAGAAGAACTGAGAACCCCTGGGAGTTGATTTCTGGAAAAGAGCAGCTGCCTATTATAGGAGGGTAGGTTAGACCTGCCTTTTTCTTTTTCCTTTTGCAGTGCTGGAGATGGAACACAGGGTGTTGCATGTTACAGCTTATTTTGATATCAAATGGAAAGCAAAAGCAGTATTCTAAGACTGGAGCCTGTTTCCTCAAATTGAGCAAAATGTAGTACAACCGCAGTTTCTAGTGTCTTTGTCTCCCCTGGCAGCATTTTTTTTTTCAAATTGGATGGGAGAAAGTAGAGCCTCTGAAAGCAGGCTAGTTTGGGTCTTCTGGGGAAAACTGCCATCCTGAAGTGGTGTCATAAAACCCTAAGTCATGAGCTGTTCCTCCATGAAAGCACTTGAGGAAGGCAGAACTTCTAGGAGGTCAGAAGGGACCAGACCCAAGTTTAGCGCCCCCCAACCTTTTTCTCCTGAGGCCAGCCAGAATCAAGGCACAAATTCAAACTGTTGAGGATCCAACCTAGAGAATGAGACATTCGGACTGAGTATACAGCTGCCACCTAGAACTGGAATGGCCGTGTTGTTTTCACACTGCTGCAACAAGGGACCCAAAACCCTATAGCATAGGGTCATCATTTAATGACCTGCTAGTCTTGCTTGATCCAACAGGCAGGAACAGGTGACAGGTGCCCCAAAGGCCTGAATTCATCAGTGAGTCATTCCCTCTGGTCTTATCCACTTTGGGAAGAACCCAGGCTCCACCCCATGACTTCCTGTGAGGGTGGTTTCTGGCAGCTTCTGGTCCACTGCATGCCCCTCACTGCTTAGATTCTACACCAAAGTAGCTGGGGGTCCAGGTTTGTACTGGGGCCTTAGGGGAAGGCAAGGAGGTCCATCCTGGAGTTAAAATCTCTTCAAATTCCCTACAAGCAGGACCTTCCTCAACAGGTAAGCCTTATGGGAAGGAAGCTGTCACGGTGCCAGATTGGCCACGTGGTTCCACACGGTGGCAATAATGCTTCAAGTATGGATAGAAACACTGTCTCCCAGTGCTCTTCTCCTGCCCTTCCTTTCTGAAAAAAGTCCACCATGTTTTCATTTTACCTAGCCTGGTGGTCCAAGCTTCCCTTGCCTTGCCTTTGCTTTTGTTTTTCACTTGAAACCAAAATGAATCCTAAATCGACACCTCTTCACACCTAGTCTCAGTGCCTCCATCCCTACCACTAAGTATTTTCCTTGACTTTATATTGTCTGCTTTAGGCACTTACAGGGTTCCAGGCCCAAATGGGAGAAGGAATTGATTGGTCCTTAGAGATTAGTCCTATCAACACAGCAGGAAAGGTGTTTAGAAGTCATTTTCTGAATTGATATAATAGTAAAAGTGTGCAGTTTTTAATGATAACAAAAAATGCAGCATCAAAATTTATAATAGATACCGTGAAATAGGAAGAAAAGGTCCAAAGGGGAAAGGGGAAGGGGAAGTGTAGGGGAAAGGAATAAGAGAATGGAATTAATGTGAGAAAAGGAAAAAAATGGAAATAAAGTCTTTGTAACTAGGGAATTGGGGAGGGATTGAAAGTTGAGCAGGGATTGAAAGGGATCGAGAGGGATTGAAATGGGAAAAAAATAAGAACCATGATATATCAGGTAAAGGTATAAATTCCCAATGATGAATGTCATCATTTTGTATACCTAGAATATACCAATAATCCTAATGAATAAAAAAAATGCAACATGCCCAGAAACAAGAAAGTATGGTTCCTTCACAGGTAAAACAATTCATAGAAATTAGAAAACACTTCAAATCATCTCTCTTACATATACTCAAAGTGCAACAGTAAACCAAATACATAGAACCAGAGAAAATGAGGAGAACAGCATCTCACTATTATAGAATGTCAGCAAGAAGTAGAAATTATTTTTAAAAATTAGAAAATTTGAAAGTGGAAGGTATAAAAAACAAAATGATGTATTTCCAAGAAGTTCCTAATGGCAGATTTGACCAATCAGGACAAAGAATTAGTGAATGTGCCATTAGGTCCACGACAAACATGAATATACACATCCAAGAAGTTCACAAACTCCATGTAAAGCACAATGAATTTACATAAGGAGTCACATCATAATCATGCTATCAAGAGCAAGAATGAACAACCTGAAATAATTAATCGATAATGATGCTGTCATATACAAAGAGTCTTCAATAGATTACCAGTCAGTGCACTTCAGAAACTATCAAAGGAGAAACCAGTATGTGTAGGGTAACATTTAAAGTTCCAAAAGAAAATAAAACAGTCTGTCTGTGACTCCATATCCAGAGAGGCTACGTTTAGAAAATAGAATTAAGACATTCCTAGATAAAAACTTCATGGAGTTTATCAGTAGGAGATGTGTTTGAAGATCACATGATCAGATGTTGTAAGTTTGCTAACATCTGGTAACATGAATGGCAAAGTGTGTGGTACTTTACTTTTAATGTATATAATCTTGTAGCATAAATATATGGGAGCATGGTAATGTGCAATTGGGGTATCTGTAAAATTCAAACAAGATACATGTGTCTACCTTTATAAGGCGATATATTTGTGGATGGACTTTCAAGTTTTACTTTCATTCATAAATAAGACTTGGAATGCTGACAGATAACTTTGTACTGATAATATTCAGTGTAATGTTCACTGTGTTGTATTTTTCTCTAAACAAAATACAAATGAAGGGAGCAGAGAGGAAAGGGATTTAAAACAAACAGTTCACATGTCACACATGTGTACCAACTCCACATAAGTAGGAATGATACTACTTACTCCAGGCATGTACTAAGAAAATTTTTTAATTAAAAGAATTCTGAACACTTGCTACATGCAGTAATGATTAAATTTGTTGCTGTGAGTACTCAATGAAATCAGAGGTTTCTAATATTTTATTAACAAAATCTAGTCACCTAAAGATCATTTACTGACATTTTAAAATAGTCTTTCTATATAGAACTGAGAAAAATAAGGAAAACAAATCATAAGGAAAGTGCACATAAATATCATCACTTGAACTAAATGAGAAAGTTCAGGATAGCTGGACGTGGCAGTGCATTCCAGTAATCCCTGTTTTCTTGGGGGCAGAGGCAGGAATGCAAGTTCTTGCCCAGCCTGGGAAACTAAGGAACTTACTGAGATCCTTTCTCAGAGAAAAAAAATTCAAAAGTAAAAAATATATAAAAGAGAGCTGAGTATGTAATGTAGCTCAGAGTGAATGCCGAGTTCAATCCCCCATTTTAAGCATCTACACCTTCCACCCCTTGCATAGTTTCATACAAATAGAAGAAAAATCAGAATGCTATTGGATAAAATACTGTTTTTTTATTGAGCTTCTCTTATGCAGAATAATTTCATATACTTCTTTATAATTGCTCACTTTTACATTTATTGTCTAGATGCTTATAGTATCCTTACAATTTAAGAAATAATTGATTTTTTTGTCAAATAAAGAGGTGTGAGACTTAGCAGCAAAGCACTAGAAGTTACCTATGAGTAGTTTATGCCATTGGAAATGTAACATAACCTAATATTGTGAGAAAAATCCATGGCACTAAATTCTTCCTATATATATATATATCTTTGTTTGCATGTGTGTGTTTGAAAACCTTACTGAGCAAATGTAGGGATATCAATGGCCTATATTTGGTTAAATGGTATCAGCTCTCATGAAAATTCCTATATAGCATATATAATATTTCAGAGCACATAGGCATGAAGGAATGAAGTATTGTTCTTTATTCTTTATAGATTTGGATATACTGAGACTTTTCAAGAAGCTGCTATTACTTTTATAATTTGAATTTTTTTTTGAGATAGGGTTTTGCTGTGTAGTCCAGGCTGGCCTGCAACTTGCTGTGTAGCCCAGGCTGGCCTAAAACTCCTGGCAATCCTTCTGCCTCACCCTCCCAAATGCTTGGATTATAGGCTTACACCACCAGAACTGGCTACTTTCATAATTTGAGAATCAATCTGGAACAAATATTTGTACAACAAATCATTGCTGCAGAATGCTTTACTGAGCTCACTGAACCAAGTGATCTGTATTTGTAATTGCACATTAGAAATACATGTATTTCTCACATTGTAAAATTACTTGTTTCTTAGATGTGGTATTTACTGTGACCTAGCTCCTTTTTAAAAATTTTATTTTTTTAATGTATGACTCCTATGCATGGGCATAATGTAAACCATCACACATAATATTGAAAAATGCCAAAGAAGAGGAAAATCTTAAAAAAAGAATATGCCAAAGAATAATTAGGAATATTTAAGAATTAGGAATCTTTAAGAATATTTAACAAGTTTGTAAAGTGTTCAACCTGCAGAAACTTACTTGAACATTGGAATGGAATTAAAAAAAACTTGGTTATATGAGTAAGGGAGCCCACACAAATTTATGATAAAGATACTGTAAAAGCCCCTTTTGGGATGCAGAAAATGGTATTTGGCTTTATTCCTTGCTAGTTTTGAACACTTTGCCATTAATATGAATTACTTTAAGTATTTTGGATATTAAGTCACTATATAGGGCCTAATATCAATAAATTTGTGTGCATGTGTATAAATTTGGAAAGTGTAAAAAATTAGTGCATTCAGTTATATCTAAAGAAAAAGTTCACCTTTAAAAATATTAAAAAATTTTTTTTGCAGAACCTGGGATCGAACTCAGGACCTTGTAAAAGTTCGCATTTTAAAATGTATGTGTGTATGCTACATTGTAATATGGTTACTATTATAGTCAGGATGCTCTGTCTATACATTTATAAAATCATGTTCATACTTTTATACAAGGAAGCATATTGAAGGTTTATAGATTAATATAAAGTATGTCAATGCATTCCCTTCAAAACTTAACACACCTTGTCTGATCCAAAACACAATTTTAATACAAGATATTTTTTGTGAACCTAAATATAAAAGTATATATGTATGTGTATAGATTTTGTAAAAAGTATTCCAAGAAATCCAAAATATTATCATTTGTCTTAATAGGTCATAGCAAAAAGCTTTTCTTTTTGGTCACTACATATTATTTTCTAAATGCTCGGCACACAATGTACTTGATGAGAATATATTGCTACAGATAAAATATAAGAGTGAAACGCAGTGTAAGAAATTGAAAATCATTCAATGGCAAAGAAATGTGCTTTATTCCAATTTTAAATGAAGGAGCTGTGAGACAAGACTGATTAACCTCTAGTAGAAGTTCACAACATATAAGCGTAAGTTACCATGCTATGTGGAGCAGTTCATGGCATATAGTCCTCTTTTCTTTTGGCAGAATTGCTAACAATTCAACACAAAAGGCAAGACCATGGAGGTGGACTTTCCAAGTTGATGCAGTGTGAAAAGAGCAAGGACAGGCCACTTCCAGGTGGTGTACCAGTACCAACACACATATTTGCTCTAGATCTCAGATGCGCCCTATTATCTGGAGTACATCAGCTCTACATAAAAAATGGAGGACCAAGAACAGTTAAAAGGTTTGGAGATAAACCTGCAGGTTAAGAGTGCGTGTTTGTTGGAGATGGTGTTACCTGTGAGCTCACATAATGTTTTCATAATGTTGCAGAAGGTGCATTGTAAAGAAGCACAACTGCTTCTAGAAATGCAAAGCAAGGGCCAAAAGCGATGTCAATGGGAAAGCCAGAATAAGGGACTCAATCACTTCATAGTTCCAAGAAAGCAACTAAAAGCAATGAACTATGATTTTATGATTTACAAGGGAATTTTCTCAATAAGCAAGGGACATTCATGATAACCTACTGCTGGGAGTTTACTTGAGGGCAAAAGACTGAAAGCTTTGCCCCTAAGATCATGAATAAGGAAAAAATGCCCATTTTGACCAGTTGTATTGAACTTTGTACCAGAAGTTTTTGTCAAGGTATTCAGGCAAGAAACAGAGAAGGCACCCAAATTGGAAGAAAGAAGGAAAATGATGGTTGTCCACACCATCATCTCATACAAAGCAATCCTTAAAAATTCACAAAAATCCTATCACAGCTATGCAGCAAATCTTGCAGAACAGAAAAGGAACTTGTAAAGATCATTTGTAGAGCTAGGCCTGATGGCTCATGCCTATCATCTCAACAGTCAGGAAACTGAGACAGGATGGTGAATTGAAGCCACCTGGATACAGAGGGAAAGCCTGCCCCCCCCCAAAATCAATCCATAGTATTTGTGTATATATACGATAGCAAAGAACAATCTAAAAAGAAAATTATGCAGTCATTTACAACAGCATCAAAATAAATAACATACAACTGCATACCACTAAAGAGATAAAAGGCTAGTGTAGTGAAAGTGACAAAATGTCTCTGAAAGTGTCCTTATTAAAAGGCACCCTATGTTCAGAATCTGGAAGAGTGTGTCAGTATGGCAGTACTACCCAAAGAGATCTGCAGATTGATTGCAGTCCATATAATCATCCCAATGACCATTTTTGCAGAAATGGAGTAGTGGCCCAGGGCTTCCTTTGGTGGGAATTAGAATTGTGTGGAACTAGACAGAGGTAAAACTAGCAGGGCATTGTGAACATAGTGAATGCCACTAAAATGCATGCAGTAAAATGAGTAATCTTATGTTACATGGATTTTACCTTCATTTTAACAAGTGACTATAAGTCTCTCTCTATAATTCTGGCTGGCCTTGTACTCATTATGTAGCCCAGGCTGGCTTTGGACTCATGGCAATCCTTGTGCTTCAGCCTTGAGTGCTGGGATCATAGGTGTGAGCCACCACAGCCAGTTTCAAGTGGCAATTTTATTTTTGAGACAGCACCTCACTATGTAGTTCAGACTGGCCTTGAACTTTCTATGTAGCATAGGCTTGCCGCAAACTCTCAGGGATCCTCCTGCCTCAACCTCCAAAATTCTGGAATCACAGGCAGGCACCACCATGACCTGCAAGTGGCAATATTTTTTAAACATGTCAGTATACTCCACCAAATATTAGTTATATTTCAAAAGCATTCATAAGTAAAATATTTGCATTAAAAATATAAGTATTAAAAGTATATGAGAATTTGAACACAGCTTTATAAAATTGCATGTGATAAATATAGAAGGAAAAATTTTAGCATATATGGCACAGACTTTTTTCTTCCTGTAGTAAGAACTGAACCCAAGATCTTCACAGTAAACTACATCTTCAGACTTTTTTCATTTCATTTATTTATTTTGAGACAGTTTCTTGCTAAGTTGCCTGGGATGGGCTTAAAGTTGTGACTTTCCTGCCACAGCCTCCCAGAATGCTGGGCCTATAGTTGTAGGACACCATACCTGGTCACAGGTATTTTAATAGTGGTTGTTTATTCTCACTGGGATTGGCTTGTCACATGATTTCTGCTTTGTAATTTGTTAAACATCTAGAGTGTAATGAAAACTACGTAGCCCTAAAAATATCTATGGATGTGAGTATATGCCAGTGGTGGTCTGAGGTGAGGCTAAAGGCTATGTAAAGTGAAAGAGGGTCACAGGTATAGCTGAAGAAATGAGTAATGGAGGCAGTTGTATATACATGCAATCATATCCATTTACAAAGTTTTAAAAGCTTGTGTCTGCACTCAAGTATGAACCTGACAGTTGAGGCAAGCTTGTATTTCTTTAGTTTTATTCATACTTATATAAGTAGACGTTAGTCGAAGAATGTGGCTGCATAGTTGTAATGTGCATGCACCCATCTTTAAGTCTTCTTGGGCAAACATCATTGTGTCTGTATTTGAGATGCAACAGTTTTCAATAAGTCTATCTGAATTTTGTTTTCTCTCTTTGTGGCCTTTTTTAAGATAAAATTCTAACATCACTCCTGAGGCTCAGCCATGAGGACTACCAAAAAGTTGAGGCTAGGTCTGGCTACATAGTGAGTTTTAAGCCAGCCTGCACTACACAGAAAGACTCTGACTTAAAAAAAAAAACAAACTAAACAAAACCAAAAAAATAAACAAACCAAAAGAAAGACTTAGGACCAGAATTTGAAATAAAACTTTTTTTCCTTCAGCAATAGAGATAGAACTCAGGCTCTTTCCAATAAGCTATATTCCCAGCCCTTTATTATTATTTTTTAAAAATTTGAGACAGTCTCCTTAGGAAAATGTGAAAAACTTCCTGGGAATCAGAAGTGAAAAGATCTATTCTAAAGCCCAATGAATAACTAAATACAGTTGAAATGAAAATGTATTGTTTCACTGTCATAGAACTTTGTCTTCTGTGTATTAAAAGAATGGGAGTAGACATGCAAAAGTTTATTAATGTTAATGTTTTATGATGATGCCTATCTCTTGATGAGTGTGTAGCTGTTTTCTGAATCCTTTTGAAGTTCCATGTCTGAGCTATATAGGAGAGAATGTAAGAGCTGTACCTAAGTGAAAACATTAACCCACATACACAGTACAGCCCTGGGAACCAGGGATATGCCACTTACTGTGGGAAAACACTTGCAATTTATTGTGAAAAGATGAATCCATGATGCCAGTGTGATCTCTGATTAAAATTTACAGTGCATCAGTGAAAGTATTTGTGCCACTTCAGGTGAGACACTGTGTAGCCTTCAGTCTTGAGAACTATCCAGACCCTCCTCTTAAAGTTCCACCTAAAATCAGCCTCTCCAGGGCACACAAGAACTCGTACTTAGGTCATTAGCAGTTACAGGGAGTGAGTCCAGATGAGAACCAAGCAGCCTCTCACCTAGGGTGTAAGCATTTTTTTCTTTCCCCCCATTAAGTTTATTGGTAAAATTTAGGTATACAATACAGTTACACTAATTATCAATCAAGATTCATAATATATCTTGGTTCTTATTTTATCCCTATTCCCCTGCCCTCTCTTCACCCCCTCCACCCTCCCTATATACAAAGTCTTTGTTTCCATGTTTTTCCTTTTCTCTTTTTTTCTTTCCTTCCCTTTCCCCTTCCCCTCCCACTTTCCCTACTTCTTTAGAACTTTTCCTATTACACAGTATCAATTATACATTTTTATCCTTATTTATACTTTTATATTTTCACACCAGAGAAACTATGTGGTATTGACACATGTTCCTGCTATTAATTTCACTTAAGAGTATGGCCTCAATCTGCATCCACTTTTTGGAGAGTGACCCGTGTGCAGCCGAAAAAAATGTATCTTCTGATTTTGAGGGGTGGAACACTTTGTAGACATCTTTTAAGTTCATTTGTTCAAAAACTTGGTTCAGTTCTAGAATTTTGTTGTTTTTTTGTCTAAACGATCTTTCTATTTGCAATAGTTGGCTATTTAGGTCCCCCAGTACAATTGTATTAGTTCTTATTTGGTTTTTGATATCCCTTAATATTTGTTTTATATATTGGGGGCATTAGTATTTGGTGCATATATATTTATTATTGTTTTCTTTTTCTCTCAGATTGTTCCCTTTATAAGGATATAGGGACCTTTGTCTGTCTTAATTAGTTTTGGTTTGAAATTGACTTTTTCTGCAAATAAGATAGCTACCCCTGATTTTTCTGAGTTCCTGTTGCAAGGAGAACTGTTTTCCATCCTTGGACTTTCAGTCTATGAATTTCTTTTAGAGCTAGGTGCTTTTCTTGTACACAGCATATTGTTGGATTTTGCGTCTTAATCCATTCTGCCAGTCTATTTCTTTTGATTGGTGAATTGAGACCATTAACACTGATGGTTATAACTGATATGTATGGATTTACCATCACTGAGTTATTATCCTGTTGTTGGCTCCTTTTGATTTTTCCCCTTCTCCCTATAATTCCTTGCCTTGCCTGATGGATTTGTTCTGTTGGGCCTCATGGAGTTTTGAGGTTTGGCCTGCAATACATCAAGACATTTTGATAACAGGAGGAAACACGAGATGGAATGCTGCATGAAGGACAATAATGATGGGAAAATGGTTATAAGATATGTATGGATTTACCATCACTGAGTTATTATCCTGTTGTTGGCTCCTTTTGATTTTTCCCCTTCTCCCTATAATTCCTTGCCTTGCCTGATGGATTTGTTCTGTTGGGCCTCATGGAGTTTTGAGGTTTGGCCTGCAATACATCAAGACATTTTGATAACAGGAGGAAACACGAGATGGAATGCTGCATGAAGGACAATAATGATGGGAAGACTTGGTTGTGTGGAAATTGAGCTCTTCAAAAGCTGCTTGCTGAGGGTGGGTACCTTATCCTGCCTACCTGCCTTTTTTCATTCCTGGGGATTAAACAGAGGGCCTTGCTCATTAGCTCTACCTATAATATCAAATGGGATGCAAAAGAAGGAATCTAAGAATAGAGCATGGACTTGCAAGTTAACCTAAGTGCCATATAACTACAGTGTATAGTGCTTTGTGTCTCCTGGCCCAAATAAAGGCAAAATCAAAGCAGAGTGAGCTTGCTGCAACATGCTGGATAAAATGCCATGCAGCCTAGCATAGTGGTGCATATTGGTAATCTCAGTACTCCAGAGGATGGTGCAGGAAGATCGCTGTGAGTTCAAGGTCACCCTGGGCTACACAA